AATTTTTGACCATTAAGTTAGACTTATGATTAACCTCGTATTAAATTATCAAGCATTTGTGTTGAGCCAAAATATTTGTATCAACATAAAACCAAATCAAAACCGAAATAAAAAAAAATCAAAAATGACAAAAATCTATAAATAGTTTAAAAATATTCTTACATTAGCCTTTTGAATTGTATATGTTGAAACTAAAATTGAAAATAACAGTAATTGCTATTATTGTATATTATCCCGTTTTTCCCCAATTCTTAAGAAAATTACAGGTAAAATTTAAAAATTATCTCACCAACGCACTCATTGATCGGAACAAAATGTTTGTAAAAAATTTGTTACTAGACACAAAAAAAAGTGCACATCATTTTAAAAATAAAACCTATAATGCGTTATACACGTATCACTTTGCATTGAAATCTCGTCTATCTTAAGTGATATTAATAATGTAAGTATGTAAAAAACCGGACATACTTCGTGCCGTGGCCATACCACTGTTGTTCTCGCCATTTGTTGTTATTGTTTTTTATTATTTTTTTTTTTTTGAATAAAGACAGTTGGAAATCTAGAAAAATGTTTTAAATAAAGAACGATTGTTAAAAAAATCCACGTCTATTGCATAAAAAAAAAAAAGGAAAAGATTTTTACTAACCTGAAAAGTGTTTTTCGGGAAAAAAATACATCCAAGTAAAACTGTTAGCTAATTCTTCGTTGCACTATGCAGAGTTTAAAAGTTTATAGAACGCGAATGGACGAAGATTCGTGCAATAGGTTTTTTTATTTTTTTAATACCTACTAAGCTCAGAAAAATAAATAAATATTTAAAAAAAAAAAGTTAATTTTGATGTTCCCTCGGAATTATTATCTTCTATGCTCATATTGTACGTAGCTAATATATTTTATCTTTACAAATAAACACTGCGTGAATATTAAATATGCGCGCATAGTCATCGAAATTTGGCGGTCGTTATTTTAGCTTTCCTTGTAGTTTCAATAATGATTTGGGAAAAAAAAACCTCTAAGAAATTTGTATGCGTATAACGTGCGGTTCGAATTTTGACGAAAACCGTAAGCGTTGCGGCATTTCAAAACATGTGCTGCCGAATTTCGCTCAGAATCGTTTATTTTTTCGTCGAAGGCAACGCGATTTACCGCTGCGTACGGAAATAATAACAATAATAATAACCGGTGAATATTATTTTGCCGACTTCCAATACCTAAAAACAGCGCGGCACACCCGTCACCCATCGACTATCGGACCTCTGTTATTTCTTTCCCCTTATCACTGCAACTAATACAATTATCGTTTTGTTAATCACCTGCTGCAGGCCTATTACATGTTTGCGTAATAGTCGAACGGCGCGCATAATATTTGTAAATAAAATAACGCCCGTCGTAGTATACGACGTACGTAATAGCTGCCGGCACGACCTTCGGAGCCGCTCTAAACCGAAACTAATCGCCGAATAATCAGCGGAGGTGTTTTTTTTTTTTTCCCCGGCGCGTTTTCGTATTTACTTAAATATTTTACACTATTATTATTATTATTCGGTAGGCGAGCAGATAGCTATTTGCCGGCGGTACGACGAGCCGGCGAAAACATCGTAATTTATAATACATTACATCGCGCGAGTCCAAAACCGAGAACGTTCCGTCGTACGTAAAAACGCGCCGCTACTTCCGCCGCCGAGTCACTCGGACGAAAAATTAAACGAGACGTAAATGCGAATAATGCGAACGTGACCGAGCGGCCGGTCAATTAGTGTACACATCGCGTGCGTACGTTCGACAGTCGGGAATGCGACGGCGGTGTTCGATAACGCGATTTTACGGTTCGGTGGCGTAAAAGAAAATATTTGTTAAAAATGTTAAAATAACATTTGGCCGTGGAAATTTCGCCGGGGGTCGGACCCGGGACGAGATAACGGAGAAAGGTGTCGGCCGGCTCAGGGGGCGGCGGGAGGGGGGAGGAGGAGGACGAGGAGGAGCGATTTTAAAAATGCGTATAATAAGGCGCGCGTTTATAACGGGCTCGACGACGAATCGAGGTGTTAGATGGAGAGTATAAGTGCATAGGCTATAATATCGCAGCGGTTTCTTAACGTGGGCGGAACCGTCCCCCAAAGGAGCATTCCGGTCCCTCGGGGGGAGGGCGATAGGTTTTGACGGGGGCGTTAGACGAGCGGGGTGAGCTATTAAACGCGGAATGTTGGAAATATAATAAAGCACCGGCGTCCAGCGACACGCATTATCGCATCACGTGAAATCAGAATAATAGTTGTGTACAGGGCCGGATTTAGTGTTGCGATTTACGGTCGGCCAAGATTCCTATAAAAAAAAAAAAAATCACCAACCGAATATTCCTATAATACCTATCGATAAGCAATAAAAAAAAAACCACAAAACAAAGGCAAAAGCAAAAGACCAATAAGTTAATAATCAAGCCTATAATTTTGCGTGAAGTGGTGTTAGCAGACAGTTATATATTTCGTTTTCAAAAGTATAAATAGTACACTCATACCTATACGTTCATAAAGGCGAACAAAATTAATGTAAAAAGACGGACGGACACTGTTGACGTGCGTGCCGGTGTTCAGGGAAGCTGGAAGGGAAAATTTTTAACGCGGATTGATTTAATGAGTTTGATTAGAGTTTTATTAGTTACTTCGCCCTTGTCTGTATAGGATAATCCAGAATATCAAACGAACAATTTCCAATTTGTCCCAATTCGTTCCAATTTTTCATTTATTGAAAAACACTGCGATTAAAATCAAAAAATATCATTTTTAATACGTCAACTAGATCTAAATTATACACGCAAGTGCCTATAAAGTTTTTGATTAGAGCAAGATTTCTGGTAGAAACTTAAAATTGTTCATACAGACACAAATACACGTCGTATCGAAATCGATACATTCCTGTGGTGTGCTTAGAACTGTTTGGACTTTTGGAGTATAACGATAAGAAACCATTAGTATTACTATAATACGTGGTTTTTTTCTCGTAAACACTTTTTCGGTTACTATAAACGTGCTCTGATTTATTTATGGAGTATTCACTTCAGAGATTTTTCGCCCAGTGGTACTTTATTCGAGAAAAAAACACTTTTCTAGATTCCTTTTGGTTTTTCTGGAAAATTAAAAAAAAAAAAAAACTGATAACTTAGCTCTGCTCAGAATCGTTTTACGGTGCCCAATGACTTATCGTTATTTTTAGTGTACAAACTCGACCATCCCATACCGTTTTAATGTATAGCTTTCAAACTTCCGACCTGCCCACCCGCGGTGCGAAATACGTCCGGCTTTTTAATAATATTATTTAGATTTACAGTAAAACAAATCATGTTGATGATATAGAAAAAAAACAACAACAACAACAACAACCATAACGAATAATCGCGGTAGATGTTATAACGATGACGGGCGATGACGTTTGAAAGAGAAAAATAACAGGAAACGAACGCGGTTTTTTTTTTATAATATCATTACGACCACGTTCGTTATCCGCGCGCATTATAATAATATAATACGCGCTACCCAGCCTATTATATTATTATTATTATAATTATAATGAAAATTTTTCCGATCAAAGGTCCCCGTCCGGCCATTATATCGGACGATTTTCGTTTTAATCGATTGCCTTTCGCGGCGTATAATAATAATAATAATATAATTAGTCGGTTTCTAACATTGAACGATACGCCGGCGCACCGGCACCTACGCGGCCGCGTTCATAATAATTGGTAAATCAACACTGCAATAATGTGATAGTGGACCGTACATTACACCCGGGACGCGTATTTTCGTATTATAATTGTACAATATCGTCGGTAATAATCGCGGCGGCGGCGGCGGCGGCAGATCGTGTATCCCCCGCGCGTGACCACTCGTATGTATTGCGACGAGACGTTCCGTTGCGCGGCGGTTCGTTTAACGCGGCGCGTAAATCCGGCGACTGGCGAAAAATCACCGCGTTAAACTCGCGTTCTGAAAACGACATTGTAATGATATGGTTTACGGAGAAAAAAACAAACAACAAACACACACGTTCAAGTTCGTTTTTTTTTCTCCCGTATACATACGCGCGCGCGACAGGAATATATATCGGGTGGCTGTTTTGCAAGACGTATTGTCGGGTTAAAAAGTTAACAACCAATTGAATTTCCATTTTTCCGACTCGTAACCATTTATTTCCTCATTATTATCTTACGTTAAAATTACGCGTATACGGGGCTCGGGGTTTAACGCACAGTTAATAACAAAAAAAAAAAAAAAAATAATAATAATACAATTGTTTGAAACTAGCGAAAAAAGCAGATTTATTTTTGAAAAAAAACATGAACAAAATCAACTTAAACTAGGTCTGAGACTGAATAAAACAAGAATTAATTACCACGTATTTTGCTAGGTTTTCGGTTGTGAAATTGACTCCAAACGAATACGATAAAAAAAAAAAAATAAATAATAATAATAATCCAATAACCATTTTGTCCGTATTCCGGATTTTTACATTTTTTATTAATTAAATTTAAATTATTTTTGTTATTGCGGCATAATGAACAAATAAAAATTCCACAGCTGGAATAATTGCAAAAAAAGCATTTGCCCACATAAAAAAAAAAAAAAAACAAAAATAAATTTATTTATTTGGAATCAAAGTGACATAAAAACGAATTAATGTATAAAAATCAGATTTCTATATCGTGTATAACAAAAGAAGCATATGCTTATTTAAAATCCGAGCAGTATGGCTATACTCGTGCATGCTTGTACATTTAATGGATGGTTAGTTTCGAATAACATTACTACGTTAACAGCTCTAATTGACTCAACTTGTGTAGTTACCGAGCCATACGTATCAAAACCAACTTTTAATGCGCCCACTCGTTAATTTTTAATTTTTTTTTTTTTTTTACAACTACTTCGTCCACTATAACTTGCTCAACCTAACCGTTTTGAAACCGTCGGAATTCAATCATTCATGTTTTGTTTTTTTTTTTCAATTATTATTTTTGAAATTTAAAAGTATAGCAGTGCGAATGTGATGGTTTTACTATATTATCATAGGTAATGCGTTTTTCTCGTACTTCTTCATTCCTGTAAACTAGTTTTTGCGATAATTGGGGAAAACGTTTACGCAAGAAAATTTACGCAATAACGGTTTCGGTTATTCTCGATTTCGATTCGGTTTCACCGTATACATTATATTATATTATCCCAGAAATTCGTAAAAACCGCGCTTTTTTTAAAACACGTATAGTGTATACATATAACCGCCAGGTGTATTCGTTCAGAATCGTTTTTCGTTAGTAACGATTTATCGTATAGCGTTTACGGATCAGAGATGTTCCGGGTACCCGAGTAATAATGACTTAATAACCGCGGATACCGGATATCATGTTTTATACTCGGCGACGTTATTAAACAGTACTCGGCGTCAAAATAGATTTTTTTCTTCTGGTTCCTGGCTCATCACTATGTGTAATGAACATTCAAGTGTAGGACCTTTGTTTTTGAAATTTTTTAAACAACCTCTTGTTAAGCATAAAGCCATTTTAAAGACTCTATTATCCCGATTCAAAATTTAGTTAATTTAGACTCTCTCCTACTAAGATTTCAGTTATATGATATTATGTTTTTATACTATTTATTGAATTACAGTATTTGTGTGTCGTGAGCTTTTAGCGCATATCAATTTCCGCATTCCCTCTTACTATTCGAGAAATCATGCCATCCCGTACATTAAGTCCAAATCAGGTAATGACTCCTTTTTTGTTAGAGCTCTGAAACTAGCTAATTCAGTCTCCACTGCCTTAGATTTATTTAGTACAATTCGTGATATTTTTAGATTTAAGCAAATTTTATTTTTAAAAGAAAGCAATATAAATTTAACTAGTCCTAGCATATCAATTTTTTCGTTAATATTTTCTTATATATATTTCTTTGTATTTTTGTTTGTTTTGCTTGTTTCTTGTTGGAGATTAATTTCTAACTACCATCTATAAATTTATAAACTTATATACTTTCTTAAACTATTTGTATGCATAATATTTTTCTCTTTTTGTATGTTTTTTTTTTTTTTTATACACAATTGGTCATCATACCGCGCTCTATATTGTAAAAGTAACCAGCCCCGTTGAATTCTAAATAAATAAATAAATAAATAAAATAAAGCTCGATTCCCACGTGACAATGTGGCGAGGAAAAAATGTGTGCCCACAGTCGACCGAACGAAAAAAAATATTCTATATTACGGTAGAAATCGGAAAATAATTACATTTAATACGTATATTGTTTGCTAATTAATATTTTAATATTTCATTTTTTATTGAACGATTATTTTATAGCAACTGCCTGTAGGCTATAGGTATTGGTGATTGCTTGGTGGCTTGATCACTATAGCTCTTAGTGGATATCCAACAACTATTTCCGTTACTCCTATATATATGTATAAATATATATCGTCTTAATTTAACACTTAACCGAGACCCGAGACCCGCTTTCGGTAGATATTATTACTCGGCTAATATTCGCGGTACCCGATTTCAATGTGTAAATTATTACTCGATTGTACCGGAAAATCGGTTTTAACAGTTTTACATATTATTACTCGGCCAACACTCGGTACTCTGTATTTGTATAAATTGTTATTCGGCAAATATACGGTCGGTACCCGGTTTGTTCATAAATAATGTACTCGAGATACCTCTAGTACAGATGTAAATTAAATCGTTCTGTACCTCGCCAATTTGTGATGCGTATAACAGTTGCTGCACACCAGTCATCAGTATCAAATCTGTTTTGTTGTTTTTTTTTTTTTCTCAATAGTCAGCACTGAATTAAAATACAGTAATACGTTTTGTTTTAGTTCAGCGGGTACAATTATTTTAATTGTCACGAACCGTTAATAAGTTAATTAATTTACTGAATTAACTTGATTTTCCGATTCATTTCGAATCAATTACAATAGTATAATAACGCCACTAGCGAACGAGACAAAACAGTTTTTCAATAAATATTATTATTGATAGACCGAAATATTTCTACGGCACACCAAACTCCACGCGAGTTTCAACGAGACTTGATAACCATTTCGATATCAAATTAAATAAATAAACTGTTATCGTGGTCTACTGCTCCATGTCCACGACAAACTTTGCTCGACAAAAACGATGCATAATATTGTATAGCGTATACACGCCAAGTGTAATAACATTACGTTGGCAATTCAAATTCAGATTCTCTTCAACAACAAAACATAATATTAATAATATCACTATGACGTAATAACAGCATTATACTTATTTATTGTAATGATAACTATAATTACTATACAGCCGTTATCACGAGTAATATTATTAGCAAACAACTTTGAACGGTAAAAACAAAACATTGGCTACAAAGTAGATGGCTAAAAAACAAAACAAAAAAAAAAAAACAAAAAAAAAAAAAAAAAAAAATAAAAAGAGTATCTATTGAGCTATTCTTTGTTTTATTTTTTTCAACGCACTTTATCGAAAAACACTTAACGAAAACCACGAGAGTGTTTCAAACGCGTTTAGCGTATTGTGCAGATGTATACCTATACAATAATATACGTATCTATCTATGAAGAACCATACGCGCAGATAGCGAAGCATTTGATTGGAGGGCCTGCTTTTTCGTAAACCAAATAAACTTTTAGACGATTTCCAAACAGTATACGAACACCAAAGTATATCGTTCACAATTCAACACTACAGACATGTGCAGTAAATGCTCAAGACCTATGTAAACTGGAACGGATTTAACAATTTACCGGCCCGATGCCAAACATAATTTTCCGCTCTATTTTCAAAAAAAATCACTTCTGTACTATCAAATTTTGTTACACAAAAATGGTTAATTCATTTAAATAGAATTATAAATTTATTTTAATGTTTTTAATTCGTTATTATTTCTTTACGGATAAACTTGAAGGAATTACGGACGGTATAAATCCTAGTTTGATTTAAACCTAACTGACGGACAAACACCCTGTAAGAATTGTATTTGATGGATTATGATTCTTTAGATTCTTTACTAGAATACCTAAAATATTTTGGAAACGGATATCTATTAATTATTATACAGGACTATTAATTTAATCGTATGTTTGAGAAATTTTCAAAAATTGACTTCAAATATTTCACCGTTAACTTAAGACAAAGATAATTTAAAATTAAAAACCAATACTAACGTACCCCGGTTAAGAACATAACGAATCGTAATGCGTTTTCAAAATTTAAATCCGCCAAACGCAATTCTTACAGTTTTGTCTGGCTTATTTATTTGTTTTTATTTCCTTGATAATAGGTACATGGTCGCCTAATTACACAACCGTTATTCAATATCAACTAGTTTAAAATTCGATTTTAACGATACCGAATGATACCGAGTGCAGGTGTGTATCGATGACACTGTGTATAATAGTATAATTATTACCATTATTTTTTTTTAATGCCCCGTAATGATTAATATTTATATATTTTATTGCGACCTGCGCGTAAACATGACTGCTTAAATCACAATGTATCATAACCTACTGTTATTAGTTTATTTACAAAGAAAAAAAAAATAAAAAAAAAAAAATAGAACACTATTTCAATATATACTTCAACAATCAAAATTACGTTGCATATCATACGGATTGAGTCTCACAAAAACCCAACGACCTAATTAAAATTATTAACAAAAAAAAAAAAATAATAATAATTAAAAACCCGTGGTTTTAGTTGTTGTTTTTCTGCATAGTATTATCGTCGGAACTTGTCAGCCGGTTCATGTTAAGAGCTCGTCTCAGGTGTAAGGTCGAACCGCACTCGGATCAAAAAACAAATAAAAGTGTCGATAATAGTGTTTCGATAAAAGCGTCGGAAAAAAAAAAACACTGATTTCCCTCGATTAACTTACACATTCGAATGGAGATTATAAACACAACATCTTCAACTACACGATACCAAACTAAAAAAAAAAAAACAAAATGGGATAAAAAAAAATGTAATTTTTAAACTTAGTTTGTTATTGTTACTACAAAAAGTAGTTTCGAATAACAATGGTAATAATTTTAAAAGTTTTAAAAAGCTCCTTTTAGTTGTATATATTTAAAAATATCAAGACTCATATTCAACCACACGTTGCAGTGTCGACCGACTATTAAAATCATAAGTATCAGTAAGCGAGAAAAGGAAAAAGTGAGTGTTTCCAAAACTTTCGGGAGACCCGTTATGGAGACAAGATTTCCGAAATGTTTTTCTGTCGCACATGTTTCTTCGTAATAATGTTACACTAATAGTAGTAGCGCGCGCAGGATTAGTTTTTCATAATGGTTTTTGTTTATAATAGTTTCCTAAATAGGGGATATTACATATTATCAGTACAGTACTATCACTGTTATTACCGAATAAATTATTTTTGATGAAATTCAATTTTATTCTATCGTATATAAGATATTATGTCGTTGAATGTAAAACTTGATTTAAAAAAATGAAGTGAAGGTAGACATTCCGAAAAGGGTTTTAACATCCACCTCCCCCCCCCTGTGTGTGCCACTCTCTAACAGAACTTAAAAATAAACTGCATCCTCTCTCTCCCCCCCCCCCCCAACAATATTGAAAATAAAGCAGACCAGAGTCTGATCACGAAGAACCTAATACAGTTATTAAACAATTCATTTCTAATAAAACTCATATTCGTTTTGTTAATAAATATCATTAAAAAATGTCTCGGTGACAATAGCCGAAGCGACACCCTCCGGACTTCGAGGACTTAAACTAATGGACACTGATAATTGTACGGTCCCATCCGTTTTAACCCCGGGGCTAGGTAAACGTAACGGAGTAAAACGGACATTTTCGTTTGGCCATCCGACGCGTAGAGAATCCCCGTTACGGCTCTGCCGCACAATAATTGACAATATTTATTCCATCCCGAGTCGCGTACACCTCCACATCTAATGCGATACCGTTTAGCACTCGATCCCAACGATACTCGCATATAAATGTAATATAAATAATAATACGTTTTGGAGGATCGATAATCGTTCGACTTCTTGTGCAGTGTTAATTCAGGTATGTCTATGGGTACCTGCAGCATCACAGTCGGCATCGATAATTCGATTTATCCGTGTAGAATCCGTAACGCGTAACGTTCTATACACACCGCACTAGTATTTAGACGGTTATCGTACGGTTACCTACCTATGTTAAAAC